TTAGGGCTTACGGCTTAGGCTTAGGCTTAGGCTTGTAGTAGGCTTAGGCTTAGGCTTAGCTTAGGCTTAGGCGCAGGCTACGCACTGCGCCTATTTAGGGTTAGGTTTTTTGTTAAGATTTGTAAGCGCCACGATAACTTTCGCCCAAACTTTCACAGTTGATTCTACATAAAATTTAAGTAGATTTGAAACTGTTTCGGAATAGGCACACCGAACTCGTTTTCGAGCTACGGTAGTTTGAAAATTACGGTAATTTTTTTGAAAATGGAATATCTCGGTGATTAGTTGACCGTTCGAGTTCTGCTTTGGATATGAGACGTGATAAATCAGTCCAAAACTTTTGAAATGATGAGATTCCGACATTACTCAGTATTGCTCATGTTAGCGAATTTAATCTAAGAATTGCAAAACCGGTATATGAAGATTTTTGTAGATTTTTTTGGTTAGTGCTATCATACTCTAAAAAAATAGGCGCATCTAATGAGCAAAACTTCGATTAAGAAAATCTTTCATTTTTCGAGTCAAAAATCGATTTTTCGTGTTTTTTTTCGATTTTTTTTGGATAACTTTTTTAAAAAATTTTTTTATTTCACGGCACCTATTAATTCGTAATCAGCATCTCAAAATACACCTAGAATGACATTTTCAGGTCAAACAAAACAAAAAAATTTTTCAAAATTTTTCAAAAAAATTCAAAGTAGGCCGAACGAGTTGGGCATGTTAGAGTGGCAAAATCAAATTTTCAGTTTTTACATATGTTGTAGAGATTTTAACGCTGATCATTTTTGTTGTAACAATACCACATGTTACTATACATCCAAGCGAGTTATAAGCCGCCAAAGGTCAAAAAATAGTACTTTTTGAAAATTCAAGTCTCAATGAGTTTTGTTAGTTTCGCGATGAAATTTTCAGAGATATCACAAAAGATCATGTTGTTTCTATCAAAAAAAAAAGAGCTTGAGAAAACTCAATTTTGGACCAGTTTGACGAGTTTTTGCACATTGAATATTTTCGCGTTTTTCAAACGACTGAAAACGCGCCAAAAACTTGTCAGGGGACCTTGGCGGGGGTGTGGGGGCAGCCGCCCCCACCGAACGCAGAATATTGAGAAAAAGTTAATGAGAAATCTTCATTTACAAAATTTTTAAAAATCGAAAACCGAAAAAGTCGAATTTCGTCAAATTTTGCTCAAATCGGACGAAAACTATATCAAACGACTCAAAATGCAATTTTAAGTACAATAAAAAATTCTCAAAAAAACTCTGAAGCTAAAAAATTTTTTTCAAAACAAAACTTCCAAAGTTCGGGCAAACAAAAAGTGTTTCGAAATTCAAAAATTTCAAATTGAATCGAAAATGGTTCGAAACGTTTCAAAATGAATTTAAATGACTCAAAAATGAATCGAAATGATTCAAAAATTTTTCTCGAGAAATCCTCCAGTAATTCAAAATGAAAAAGATCAGAAAGTCCGAAAAATTTGCAAGTATTCAATGACTCAAATTTTTTGAAAAAAGAACATTTTCTAAAATAATTCTGAAAAAAATGCAACATTATTTGAAAACACGTAATCTTCCGAAAACTGAGTAATTATAACTACCGCCTAAGCGAAAAATTTCATGAAAAATCTTTTCGCTCATTTAGGGTTGTTAGGAAGGCTAGGATCAGAGATCCAGGAAGACGTGAAGATTGGAAAGGCGAATAGTAGCAAGATTACTGTAACGAGATTACTGTAGTGAGATTACTGTAACGAGATTACTGTAGTGAGATTACTGTAGTGAGATTACTGTAGTGAGATTACTGTAACGAGATTACTGTAGTGAGATTACTGTAGTGAGATTACTGTAGCGAGATTACTGTAGTGAGATTACTGTAACGAGATTACTGTAGTGAGATTACTGTAGTGAGATTACTGTAGTGAGATTACTGTAGTGAGATTACTGTAGTGAGATTACTGTAACGAGATTACTGTAGTGAGATTACTGTAACGAGATTACTGTAACGAGATTACTGTAGTGAGATTACTGTAGTGAGATTACTGTAGTGAGATTACTGTAGTGAGATTACTGTAGTGCGATTACTGTAACGAGATTACTGTAGTGAGATTACTGTAACGAGATTACTGTAGTGAGATTACTGTAGTGAGATTACTGTAGTGAGATTACTGTAACGAGATTACTGTAACGAGATTACTGTAGTGAGATTACTGTAGTGAGATTACTGTAGTGAGATTACTGTAACGAGATTACTGTAACGAGGTTACTGTAGTGAGATTACTGTAGTGAGATTACTGTAGTGAGATTACTGTAGTGAGATTACTGTAACGAGATTACTGTAACGAGATTACTGTAGTGAGATTACTGTAACGAGATTACTGTAACGAGATTACTGTAGTGAGATTACTGTAACGAGATTACTGTAGTGAGATTACTGTAACGAGATTACTGTAACGAGATTACTGTAACGAGATTACTGTAACGAGATTACTGTAACGGGTTACAGTAGGTAGGTTACTGTAGCGAGATAGCTGCACCACAGGTGCAGATATATGATAGCTGCACCAGGAGTGCAGATAGCTGCACCACAGGTGCACTTATATGATAGCTGCACCACAGGTGCAGTCAGTTGCACCGCAAGTGCAGAATGCTGCACCACAAGTGCAGATAGCTGCACCACAAGTGCAGGTATATGATAGTTATATGTATTACTGTATCGGATTACTGTAGCGAGATTAATGTAACGGGTTACTGTAGCAAGATTACTGTAGCGAGATTTCTGTAGCGGGTTACTGTAGCAAGATTACTGGAATACTCCACTTTTGATGATTTTTTCTTATGAACTTCGTTACTACGAATATTAAAACTCGTACGTAGAGAACATTTGTGAGCAAAGACAATTGTATATCTGTGCTCGGCACTAGATGTCTGGCGTTGCTCCGAGGTCAGTGATATGAAGGTCATTGATACGCAACAGCTGTTCTAGCACACATCTGGGCGGGTCGAACGGCGTCTTTTTCCGACCATTGTGCTGTTCTCATCCTCTCGTTGCAACTTCTTTGCAGCCCTTCTATCTAGCTTCAAACTTTATTCTTTTGATATAATTATTTATGTTTTTTATGTTTACTTTTTTCTCATTTCATTTCCAAGTCTTAATATGCTTTATTATTCTCTTAAAAAATATTGAATCATTTTTCTTTATTTTCTAATTTTTCAATTCGTGACTTTAAAAAAAATTATGGAACATTAAATTTTTCAAACTTCAGAAGTTCATTAATTTTCATTCAATCATGTGTTTATTTTTTTCTTTGTATTTTTTCTTTTTCCATGCGGCTTTTTCTTATTAGTTCTATGAACCTCATTTGAAGACAAAGGTAATTTCCATACTTCAGAAAAAATTTATATGCGGCTTTTTCTTATTAGTTCCATGAATCTTATTTGAAGAAAATTGATTCAAATAATTCTTATTGCTGAAATTAGTTACTTAGTTAGCTGAATAATAGGTCCACAAACTGAATGAAAGTTGTAATTCTCCACTTTCGATGATTTTTTCTTATGAACTTCGTTACTACGAATATTAAAACTCGTACGTTGAGAACATTTGTGAGCAAAGACAATTGTATATCTGTGCTCGGCAGTAGATGTCTGGCGTTGCTCTGAGGTCAGTGATACGAAGGTCATTGATACGCAACAGCTGTTCTAGCACACATCTGGGCGAGTCGAACATCCTCTCTTTGCAACTTTTTGCAGCTCTTCTATCTATCTTTAAATTTTATTCTTTTGATATAATTATTTATGTTTTTTTAATAATTACCTTTTTTTCTCATTTCATTTCCAAGTTTTTAATATGCTTTTATTATTCTTTGAAAAATATTGAATCATTTTTTTCTTTATTTTCTAGTTTTTTTCAATTCGTTAATTTAAAAAAATTATGGAACATTAAATTTTTTTCAAACTTCAGAAGGTTATTAATTTTTATTCAATTATGTGTTTTTTTGTTCTTTGTATTTTTTTCTCTCTCCATGCGGCTTTTTTCTTATTAGTTCTATGAACCTCATTTGAAGACAAAGATAATTTCCATACTTCAGAAAAATTTATAAATGAGAACAGATGCACCGTATGTGCAGATAGCTGCACCACGAGTGCAGATTTATCATAGCTGTCTTTTCTTTTTTCATGCGGCTTTTTCTTATTAATTCCATGAATCTTATTTGAAGAAAATTGATTCAAATAATTCTTATTGCTGAAATCAGTTACTTAGTCATGTGTTCATTCTAAATGTTTCTAATAAGTTCTAAGAATCTGATTTGAAAAACAAACGTAATTTTGCGACTTCAGGAAAAATTTATAAATGAGAACACATTTTGAAAAATGGAAAAGATTGTATATGATAGCTGCACCATAAGTGCAGATAGCTGCACGATTTTTCAAAAAGTTGATTCAAATAACTCCTATTGCTGAAGTTTAATAATCAATTTAATCAAGTTAGTTGAATAATATGCCTAAAAAAACTGAATGAAAGTTTTATTCTCCATTCTTAATTTTCTGATTTTTTTCAATTCGTGAATTTTTGAGAAATTATGAAACACTAAAATTTTTTTCGAACTTCAGAAGTTTTTTTGCTTTGTTCGTTCATGTGTTCATTTCAAATGTTTCTTATAAGTTCTAAGAATCTGATTTGAAAAACAAACGTAATTTTTTTCGACTTCAGGGAAAAATTTATAAATGAAAAACACATTTTGAAAGTTTGAAAAGATTATTCATGATAGCTGCACCACTGGTGCAGTTAGCTGCACCACATTTGCAGATATCTGATAGCTTCAAAGTTTTTTTGATATGCTTATTCATTTTTCTTTCCTGTTTACTTTTTTCTCATTTAATTTTCAAATCTTGACATGCTTTATTATGCTCTGAAAAAAGTTTTAAATTATTTTTCTTCATTTTTCGATTTTTCAATATGTGAATTTTTGAGAAATTATCAATTTTTACTTTTAGAAATCCATTATCATGCTACACTTCGTCTGTGCTGATATGTTTTCGCTGTCGGCGGACGCTATTGTGAATGCAGCGAATAGGAATTTAGCCCCAGGTTATTACTTGTCCAAAAATTAATTTTCAATCTTATCATTAGTCGGAACCCTATTTGTTGCATACTTAGGAGGCGGCGTCGATGGCGTCATGTCACAACACTGTGGGCCACGTTTGCAAGAAGCTAAAAACAAAATAGTGGCTTGCTTGGCTGACAGGAAGCTGGGAAAAAGTCAGGCTGTACTGACTGAGGCTTTCGATCACAATCTAGCGAAATGTGAGTATTAAAGGTTTTATTTCATTTTTTTCTGTTATTTTTTTAGTTGTGATTCATACCGCCGCTCCTCAAATCAAAAAGCCATTGTAAACCGGGAAGACTGGACGAGCAAGAATTGCGTCACTGTTATTTCAATAGCCTCACTCTTGCAAACTCCAACAATTGCTCGAGTATCGTTTTTCCTGTTCTCGGTGCTGGGATTTATCATTGGCCATCAAAACTGGCTACAGCTGTTGCCATTCAAAGTATATGTGCGTACTTTGAAGGATCCCCTAGAACGGTAATTAAAACTTATTGACTTATTCGTTCATGATATTAAAACTTGTAGACTCTGAAAAACGTTTATTTAACTACCCTTTCAAGAGGAGTTTTCGAAGATTGTCTGAATAACTGCGATCATCAGTCAACTCTCGATTGCACCTCTTCGCAATCAGCCAATAAAGCTAGGATGATAGTTGAAAAAGACGCCAGCAACGTTGAAGATAGTATGAGCGCTGAAGTGAAAGTAAAATACTTTGTGGAACGATGGGCATCTACAGCAGAAAGAATAGCAGCAGCTAGAAAGTGAGTAAATTAGAGGGCTAGTATTCAAAATTGTGCAATAACTTGTTCAGCACGACTTCAAATGGGTCTAAAGAAACATCACCTGCCAATGAGCTATCTCCATCTAGTTTCTCGAGAGCGGTTTGACTAAACAAGAAAGATCTATCTTAATATTCGATTTTCAGAGCACGGGACATTTTGGCAAGCAAAAAAGTGCGCAGATAAAAGAGCCCATCGAAACGCCAAAAAGCAGGAAAACGATAACGCCAGAAGAACGACAGAGTTTTCCACAATACTTTCCGACGATGAACACCGAGGAAACGACGCCGAGAAGAAAAAGAACGAGAACTGCAAGGGATCTGGCCAGAGAACAGGATCTGACTGAAAGACAAGAACGAGTTGAAAGCCTGCTAAGTGATGACAACGTGCGGCGAGGGATGTTGAAATCAGTACTGCTGAAAGAGAAGGAAAAAAAGGCGAACACCTTGATCGTGATGGGAAACGTGGAATATATGCTGGCCGCAATTCGAGAGCCTTACCTCAGCGCCATCACTACACTGTTGGGACCAGAGCGGCAGGGAAACTAATGCTATCGACGTTGATTTGTTTTTTTCAAGGTTCTGCAGGACATTTTAAGGTTAGAAAAATTACATTTTTAATTTTCCTTTTTTTAGAGCTTATCATCTAATGAACGTCTTCGACACGTGTTTGGCGAGGGTCAAGAAGTACATCCGCGATGTTCTGACGCAACGTGTGATTTGTCCTGGCAAATGGAACCCGGAGAACAAAAAGCTCCGACAACTTCTGCGCATGCGCTACCACGTTTGGGATGATGAGCAACCCGGCGAGGGTTTTCAAACTATGAACAGCCTGTATCCAACTTTGTGGGCAGAATTCGTTGGAGCAGGAAAAGCTCAAAAAAAGCTAGGTAAATGAACATTTAGATACTAAAGTTCTCAAAAGAAAATGCGTTTACAGATGAAGCCTCTCAACAGCAGATTGAGGATGTGGGCTTGAAGCTAGAAGTAGCAAGTTTGGAAGACATCGACAAAGCAGAGTTGCCAGCGGGAGATGCCGGTCAAGACCGTGTTGTTGCGGAAGATGACGTTGATAACCTGGCTAACGGAATCGTTGACGAAGACGACGACGAAACAAAGATTGAGGAAAATGAGGTAGGCAAAAGTAGAGATTCATTATTATAATGATTATTATATTGCAGCTTATCGATGTGGCTGTAGCAGAACTGAACCCGGAAGTTCAACTCAACATGGAAGCGTTAAGAGTTTTGAGAAGGATGACGCACATCAAGCGCTGTTCAAAGGACTGTCCAGAACCATTGCTAACGTAAGTTTTAGTTATTGCAAAATTGAACTTTTCATTATTTAGGAAAAATTCCATGATTCACGACCGCTTGCTTTCGTTCGCAAACTGTAAGGAGAACGACAATGAAACAAGTGTTGAGCGGCTGCTGAAGGATGGCGAAGTGGAGTCATTCATTTCGACACACAAAGCATGCTTTGCTGGTGCACGATCGATGGAAAAACGCGTGAAAATTGTTCGCATTCTCAACGATCTGCGAGTTAAGCTGAGAAAAAGCCTCGAGGATGGGTCAAACAAGGTATCTATCTAAAATTATCTACGCGTGACATAACAAACAATATTTAAGGATCTGCAAGAAGTTTTATCCATGAGGGACACTCCTATCTATGTACGTTTGGAGTTCGCGAGGACCTTCCAAACGTACCAAGACGTTTCGCGGCACACAGAATTTTTCGTTGCTCAAAGATGTGAGTTCGTGCGAGATATGTTTCTCAAACGAATGGAAAATCTCGAAATGGAGAGATGCGAGCTCTGCAACATGATAACCACAGCAGCTGATCTTTCGAAGGTTTGCACAATAACTTTGGATGGGAAAAAAAATGGGAACCTTTGACGTATTCAGCGCACTTTGACTGCGATGAATTTTGCCCTCAGCGAAAGGCAGCGAGGTCTCTACAAAGACCGTGAGACAATCGACGTCTGCCGCACGTGTACCAGAGTGATGCCGGGTGGAAAAAAAGTGTGAGTTTGTATTTTGACAACATGAAACCTAATCAAAAGCTCTGTCTTTCAGAGTTCCACTTGCCGCCGAAGTAAATGGAATGATGTGCGAAGACACCCCGGAGGAGCTGAAGAACCTCAACTGGATTGAAAAATGTTTGATCCAGCTCGAACGCCCGATCCAAAGCATTGTCGAGTTGCGTGATATCGGAGGGCGCAAAACGGGAGTCAAAGCAACCACGGGAGCAATGGTGGTAGTGCCGGTACCACTGCAACCAACGCACGACCATGTCGCGAGCACTTTGCCATCGGATTCCAAGCTGCTACTGAATGTCAACACAAACTTTGGTGCGACTCGTTGTGTATCTCTGCCGAAAAGTGCTGAATGCTTTGCAATGGCTCAAGGAGCATAACCCTTTCTACAGCCAGATCGAAATCAATGACCAGTTTGAATTCTTCGGAAGACAACGTCACTTTCGCCAAAAACAACAAGAATCAAGACGCGAAAAACCTAATTTCCAAAGACGACGACGGCCACTTGTTGACGCAGCAACACACCGAGGTTCAAGCTGTCCGCGATGTGAATCCACCTCCGATCGAAGGCTTCGCAATGGACAATTACCGGTTGAAAAGTCATCGGTACAACCCAGTGTCCAATGATAATCCCGACCTCGAAGCCAAGGCTTTCCCACATCTCTTCCCGACGGGAAGATTTCATTTGGGCTACGAGAGAGCTTCCCCGATGAACCAGGCGAAATATCTGCACGCTCGCATTGGAAACTGGAAGTCGGATATGCGCCGAGACTACCAGTATTTGTGTTGTCAACTAGGAAAGCGAATGCAAACAGTGAGTTTCGAATTATCATACTAAACTAAATTTCATTTGCAGGACCTGCTGAACAGTCTCGGAACACAGGCCAGAATTTCGCGGAATATGACAAAGGGCGACATGCTTGGAGCTTTGACAGAAGAACGAAACTCCTATTCGATCAACAGCGTGTTTTCGGAGCTGCGGGGATTCGGCCCTTATTGGAATAAGAGGTAACATTAGAATCTAAAAAAAAAGTTTATATTTATATGGTTCAGAAAGCTGGAAGTGAGGTCACATATTGAAAGCTTTGGAACTCCGACGTGGTTTGTCACGCTGAACCCTGCGGAACAGCATTGGGATGACGTAAGTTGTTAACGCGACTTGTTCTGACCTTAATAAGTAATTGTTTAGGTTTTGAAAATCTACAAACGATTCTATCCTGACACGACGTCGGAGAATATTCGGCAGGCGATTGCTGCCGACAGCTACCACTGGTGCCGGTACTTTAGGCGACGCATGGATGCGTTCTTCGGCGAGGTAATCCAGAAAATGCATTAATGAAACAGTTTTTTTAATTTATTTTTTTTCAGGTGCTGCTGAAAGATAATGGCCCGTTGGGTACGGTGCTCCATTACTTCTGGCGCATCGAGTACCAGCATCGGGGTACGCAGCACATCCATTGCATCCTGTGGACTGCCGATCGGCCAGCGGCGACAGCAAGCCCGAAGGAAATTGCCGATTTCCTCGACAAATATGTCACGGCCCGCATGCCGGACGAGAAGTCTGAGCCCGAACTTCATAAGATAATATCGGAGCATCAGGCACGTCCCTTTTTCAACTATAGTCATTATATCCTTTATTTTTAGATGCATTGGCCCCGGCACTCGAAAACCTGCTTGCGCACGAAGAAGCGTCGCGGCCGTTTCACGCAAACGTGCCGGTTAGAATTTATACGTTTCAAATGCAGTCGGGTAATCCAATCAATTTAAGTTTCGAGTTCCCGCGTCCGGTACTTGCTCAAACGGTGGTGGGAGGCGCACCGAAGCATTTGTCCTGCTTGCCCGGCGTCAGCAAGAAACAATACCATTTGATGAGACGAGAATCGGACAGAGTAAGTATTTTTTCTGCTATTTTCAACAAAAAAAAGTGTTCATTTGAGATGGTCAACGACTACAACGCCGAGATTTCCATGATTTGGCAAGCGAACACAGACGTGCAGTTCATAATGGGTGGTACCACGGAAGTCACCAACTACGTGACTGGTTATGCGACAAAAGCTGAGAAAGCCAAAGGAACGAGTCTGTTTGATATGAAAGCGGAAGATCTCAACGGCAAAGTCATGTTCAAGACAATGCTCGACCTTTTGCGCCAGAAAGTAAATCAAACAATTTGAAGCATCTATTATTGAAACCGTTATTTCTAGGAAATCGGCACTCTGGAGATGTTCGATATTTTCGCGGGTCATACTCTGTTTGGGTTTGATGCCGGTCACGAGTTCATCAACATCAACGAGGACAAAAAGCGCAACCGACAGCTCAGGCCCTACGAAGATCTACAGAAAAACCAACAGATGCCAGCTTACGTTGATAACTTCACCGACACCTATTATCCGAATCGGCCAGCTGCGTTGGAGGTTAAAAATTGTAGAATGATTTCGAAAACAAGTGTTTTTGTGAACTTTAGAACTTCTCGCTCATGTCGTTGGCTTTGAATTTTGAAGTTGTTGGCAAAAAACAAGCATTGGATAAGGGCAAGAAAACCGAGTTTTTGACGAGCGATGAACTGCGAGTGCGGCTCAACGAACAAGCTACTGCAGGTCGCAAAGGCTCAGTTTACTGCGGAGCCAAAGCCGTCAAGTAAGCACATATATATCCCCAATGCGGAGATGTAACAAAGGCGTTTTCAGTGATCCGGTCTCCCCGTGGTATTGTTTCCCGTCCATCAGCACTGGTACCTGCGTCGAATTCGAATATGCTCATCCCGGGAGCGATTTGACCTACAAAAAGTACTTCAGGAAACGCAAACAGCAGGTTTGGGTTTTTCCAAATCAAAATCAACTAACGTGTTCAGGTAATGCGTACTTTCCTGCCCGACGTGGAAGGTGATTCGAACTCCGTCTGCGATTTCTACAGACGTGTCCTCATGTTGTTTTGCTCGTGGAGAGAAGAACCAGAAGCGTTTCCCACCACAGAAGAAGCATTCGCTGCGTACGATAGGTAAATATCCCTAGTTTTTTAACCTCTTTTTTTAGGTTCATCAAAGACGTCAAGCAAAAAAAGCGAAGCAGCCGCCGACGATATTTCGTCGTACGTTGATGGCGTGAGAGATGGAAAAACGTCAAACAAGAGAAAAGCGCGAACTATGGGCTCGTGTTCGGGTGAGGAGCAAATTTGATTGATTGATTGACTATTTGATATTTATTCAGAAAGCCATCAATCAGCTGACGTTTGAAGACCGTGATGAAAATGAAGAAGACGACGGCGACGACGAACATCGCAAAGGCGGGCCGGCAAAAGTAGCTGCAAGGACTGTGAACGACGACGCATTCAAAACGAATCTGGCCTCAATGAATCAGAAGCAGCAGGAGATCTTCGACGACGTTATCGAAGGGGTCAAACAGCAAGCCGTTGCAAACCATGTAGGTGTTTTTCCTGTCTGTTTCAAATCCATCAATCCCATGAATTCCATAAAGAAATTTTCAGGATGGAAAAAAGGGAAAGCAGATCTTGAAATTCGTGTCAGGAACCGCTGGGACTGGCAAATCGTTCTTGATCAATCTTCTCGCTGATCAATTGACAAGAACGTATACAACTCGCGAAACGGCCGGCACTCTTCCAGCAGTTCTACTTGTTGCGCCCACAGGACTCGCTGCTTTGAACATCAAAGGCAGCACAATGCATAGCCTGTTCAAAATTGAAGTAAGTTCGTTTAGGATTCCAGAGCGTTTAAAAAATTCAGCGTGAAATATTAGCCACTGGATGCGGAAATCAGTGAAGAATATTTCCCAGTGGAAAATATTTTCCACTTGAGAATAATTTCCATAGGATCTTGGCTCCAAAAACTTAATTTTCGGAAGTCTAGTGGAAAATATTTCTCAGTGGATAATGTTTCCTAATACAGAATATTTTTTATCTTCAATGGCACAACGCTTCTGAATGAATAATGGAAACCTTTTTTCAGGTGCAAAAAGGGAGATCGCTTGACTTCAAGGCGTCGCATTTTGATGATGCCGGTGAAACGCGCGAACTTTTTCGCAACGTCAAGCTCATCATAATCGACGAAGTTTCGATGTGCGCCAATTGGATGCTGGTGAAAATTCACCTGCGTCTCCAGTCCATCAAAGGAAATCATCACCTTTTTGGCGGCGTGAATGTCATAGCGTTGGGAGACTTGCTGCAGCTTCGACCCGTCAATGCTGGCCGTGTGTTCGAGGTGCTCGATGCGGTCAAAGTGGCTGAGATCTTCGGCAGCATAGCTCCACCCTTGACGCTGTGGTGGCAGTTTTCGTACAGCGAGCTGACGGCGAATATGCGCCAAAAGGAAGACCAAATCTTCGGCGACATCATGGGGCGAATGCGTGTTGAACAGCTGACGGACGAAGACATCTCCATTTTGAAGTCAAGACTCATCATGAAGATCAAGGACGACGTTGAGCAGTCGTGCAGCATCGAACACGCCGCCGTTTACTATCTGAGTTTGTTAGAACGCGACCCAACGGCAATGGCACTGATGCCCACGAATGGAGAAGTGATGGAGTTCAACGAAGCGGTACTAAAGACGCTTGGAGCCGAAACGTTCGTCGTGCTTGCCGAAGATGTTGAAGAGAAGTCGCCAATCGAAAACGTGCTGGATGGGCAGTCGGAAGCGGATCGTCGGCGTCGAGATCGAATTTATCAGCGTGTTGACTACAGCATTGTCGAAAAGGTATTTTTCAGTTTTTTTTTTACACAGAAGAATTTGATTACAGAAGAAAAAGAAGACTCCAAAGCTGAAAACGGATGAAGTGGATCCCATGGGTAAAAAGAGTGGAGGACTTGCGGCTAAACTGACGTTGGCACTGAACGCTCGGGTCATGCTTCGACGAAATCTTGATGTTTCGAAAGGTTGATTTTTTAATTTTTTTGAAAATAAAATTGAGTTGATATAAAAAAAGAAAGTTTTTTAGGACTAGTGAATGGCAGCCAAGGATATTTGAAAAACGTGTACAAGAGCCAAGGGGAAATCATCGCACTCGGCGTAGTCTTCGACGGGTTCGACGTCGAGACAAAAATCGTGAAGGAAACGGCCGTCTTCAACGTGAGCAAAGATGAAAGGCGGCGAAGAACGCAGTTCCCTCTGATGGTGGCCTATGCAGCAACGGTCCACAAGTCGCAAGGTTATTATCATACAGTTTTTAGTGAAAACAAATAAAAGTTTTTGCAGGCATGACGATTCGAAATGCCGTGATATCGACTCGGTCAATGTTCTGCGATGGCCAGGCTTTTGTAGCCTGTAGCCGTGTGCGTTCTCTCAATGGATTGCACTTAATTGACTTTCACCCGGAAAAAGTGCGCTGCGACATAGTTGCCCTCGAGGAAACGAACCGTCTCCGAAGTTTGGTCGATCTACCGCCGTATCCGATTCCAGTCAGGACTACAAAGCCACCAACGACAACAAAAACAACAACAACAACAACAACAGCGGACCCGAAGAAGCCCAAGCGCATAAGCGATGGTCAGTTGTGACATATACGTATTTTATTATCTTAAAGCTGATCTCGTTGTCACGATCGGCAGTCCAAGCAAATCGCCACGGAAAAAGAAGCCCGCAACGGGTGTTCAACAAAAGTTCAAAAATGGTATTGAGTTCGGTTTTAGAATTAGAGTTGAAAATAACATTTTACAGCGCTGTACTTGCGAAATGTTTCACACACAGATTGCTTCGTGAACTCTGTGATCAATTTGCTTGACTGTGTACCGGAGTTGAAGAATGACATTGTGGCGGCCGCGTCAGAAGTTCGAGCAATCGGAGACAGAAATGAGGCTTTGTTGGTGGAGTTGTCGAATGTTTTGACTGGGGGCATCGATAACGTCACAAAACTCCGCGAGAAAATGCGCCCAGAACGCCAGACGGGTACCGGCGATGTGAAAGAAGCTTTTCAGGACATCTTTGAGGTACATACTTAATCAAAAAACAGGTTACAAGTCTATTTAGTGTCTACCCGCACACATAAGGGCGCAGTTCGGTTTCGTTCTGAACTCTACTCTTGTTTGCCCTGGCTGTCCTCAAAATGAACTTGTTATGGGTCGACGCAGAGATTTGGACCGATTCGAGCTCTTCTTCCATGGAAATGCTCTCGAAGTCGAACTCGAGAATCATATAGCGGTTTGTGAACTTAAAATACAAACGAAGCAGATGATGTGTTTCTTTTCCTAGGAGCTTACGCCCCTGTGCCCTTGTGGAAGCCGTCGTACAGTGCGGAACGAAGTGCGATTCGGAACAAGTACAATTCAGAAAAACAAGTAAATTGTACATTTAAATAATTCCAGATTCGTCATTTGTGCTCTTCAATCTGAACATGGACGTACAAGATCCTCCTTGCTGGCGAGAGGCTAACGAGCCTGTGACGAGTGAGCTCAAATAAAAAGCAAAGGACCAACTATTGTCAAATTTCCAGACTTTCTGGGCAATGAGCTTGTTCTTCATGGCGCCATCCAGTTCGTACCCGGCGGAATGAACCATTACATCTGTTGGAAGCGGGAAAAGTGGCGGTTTCGTGAAGTTGGACGACAGCTACGTCACCAAGGAAAAAGCAATTCCCAACGAAGGCAAAAATTTTGTTATGGCTCTGTACAAACGCATCAACATTCCTTCGATGCGAGCAACGGTTCCCGAGGAGATGGAAGTAGTCGAGCTTGACTGAATGAATGTGTCCTTTGTTTTCATGTTAATTAAATATTTCTGTGATCTGTGGAAAAAGTCTGGAAAAACCGTGTTTATTACACGTAATTTGATATCTTTATTCGTAGTGTATTATTTTGACTAGCTTTTATTCACCAAATCAAGACATGCGTATCAACGTAGTCTTCGTCTTTCTTCTGCTGCTCTCGTCTGGAAACCCAAGGATTCTCTCACATCCGGGGAAAACATTGCTCGTGTAAGTGAGCGTCGAGGTTAATGAAATAAAGCTGAAAACTTTCAGAGTGGATAAGGAATTTCATGCCAGCGACGTCGTGGTTACCTTGAGCGACAATAAAAATCTTATGCCTGTTTCACGAGAACTTTTTCAAGAAATCGCCGGACCTTATTGCCACAACAAAGGTGAGTTAGTCAACTTAGTCGACTCTCAACTCTGAAATGGCAGATTACAAAAAGGTGAAAAAACGAGAGCTTCTCACAGCGATAGGTTTTGTTACCATCGGCATAGTGGTTGGTGTAGCCGTGGGAGGAACAGTGGTAGGCTTCTTTCGCGGCCTAGTTTTCGATTCGGAAAAGGTGATAGTTTGAAAATTGGAAAAAAGCATTTTCAGTTTCAGAAACAAATAGTGGAAACAGCAAACGCGCAACTGGTTGAAGCAGAAAAGAAAGAAGCTCGAGTGATTTCACAAATGGAAGAAATAATGAGAAAAAAAGAGAAAGACGAACTTAAGCTGATTATGCAGCCACAACTGGAGAAGATGTTTGCGGACCATGAAATTCCTGCCGATCTTTTTGAAAACCCCTTCATGATGGAAGTACGTTTGTTCACTAGCCCTGATAATTCACGCCTTTTTATAGCGATTAGCAAAAGTTCTTGGAGAAGGCTCTTGGATGAAGGTCCCGCAGTACGCATTCGAGCACATGGATCTCACTCCGGCAGAATGCGACGAAAGTACTGCATCAGTCAAGGTCGTCGTTCACTATAAGATCATTGAAAACTATGGAAAGCTGGCGCAAGTGAGGAAATAAGTTTTTTTTGTCGTTTAAACATTTTTTTTTGTCAGATCGAAGACAGTGGAGTAGTTACCGGAAATCATCTGAATCACCTAGTGTTTGCAAAAACCGAGTTGGCTAAGGTTAATGGAACTTGGTATACCGTTGATAAGAACTTTTGCGAAGAGAAGGTATTTTTATTATCATCATTTTGACTCTCAATCCTACTGTGCTGTTTTTTTTTCAGAGAACTTCTATTGCTTGCCCAAGGGAAGCGTTGACCGTAGCTAAGTGTAATCCAGAAAACACCACTGTCTGCCAGCAGTTTGTTGAAATCTCCTATTAATCATTAGTTCATTGATTTTCAGTGTGACTGTACAACTCCCTTCAGTAGGAACGATTTACCGCCGTTTTTTCAACTCGTATGCTATTTATTCATCGGAAAAGGTTGAAAGTTAATATTACTGGGTTGAAAAAAAAAATTAATTTTAGCGCTATGCTGTTAAAAACCTGGACTCTAACAAAACCATCATCAATAGCATGCGGCCGTATCAGTGGCAAACCGTTTACGTGAACGCCAATCAGGAGTTGTTGGTCGGCGGTTATCGGCTGCAAGGATTTGTGGAGAAGAATTATGTGAACACGCTTCATCCTTCGGTGAACTAATTTTATTATGGCATCATTTTATATCGGTTCATGTAGGGACACGATGAAGAGGAAATTGCTGAAGCTTATGCGAGAGTGGAAGCAAGCTTGAAGCAACGAAAAATACTCGATCATGAAGAGTATAACAAAATGAAGGAAAAGCTTGACGAAAGCCTGAACAACGTCACCTTCATAACGAGTTTCTTCAACTTGTTTTGGTCGCCACAGTGGATTACAATAATTGCCGTCGTCTGTTCCGTCGTTGCCGTTTTGTTCATTGTAGCCTGCTGCCCTGCCTTGTTTTATAAAGTCTTATGCTTCTGCTTCTCGAAAAAACGACAACAAAGTCGTCCAGAAGAAATACCCCTTCAGGTTGTCGTCAAAGTGAGTTTCAAAAAGTCTGACAAGAAATGTTGATGAAAATTTAAGGTGGAGAAAGAAACGAACGAAAATGCCAATAACGCCATCAGCAACACGACGTCTTTTGCAGCAGGTTCCTGTAAATTAATTTCATTGAACTGATTTTATACTTACAGCAAACGAAACGAAGACAACGACCACGATGAACCATACGAAGCGGTGCCCCTGTAAAGCGGACGCTTTGACCACAGTGCCAGAGAGTTCGTGTTTCTGAAGTTGATTTTTTTTTAACCGAATCAGTTCAGTACCCGGTTGGATTGCGATTCCTGTGAATTTGAGCAACTTTTCGCAGGCAACGTTGAATCCAGTTTTTGGGTTCGACGGCAATAAGTGGCTGCTAGGAATCTTGTTGCCTATGGAAAGAGGTCGAGCGATCATCGAGTTGCTATCCGTGAGCATAAATAAAGAGTTTTCTTTATTGTGGAATTCGCTGCAGGTGGCACTGTTATCCGATTTTTTCCGTCGCGTGTCGATCACCGAGCTACAACAACACGTGCACGAAGTTCTTCTAGAGGAAGACGTAGAAATAACGATGACCATCTGCAGGGACTTTGAGGGTCATATTTATTGGCTCGTTGAAGACGAGTAGTTTTGTTCTGTTAATTTGTGCATTTTTAAATTATTTTTTCAGCCTGTTGTATTTGTGTTGTACTTGCATTTCTTTGTTAGATAAAAATATTTTGTGTGAAGAAATACTAAAAGAATTGCACAGAAGGTATATCTGCACCTGTGGTGCGATTATCATAAAAATCCAAAGTTTTCGAGATTTTTTTACATCAATCGATAGCGAACGACGTCAGAAGCTTAAAAATTAAGGTCAAAAAGTTCTAAGACGGCTAGGAATAAAGTTATGATTTTTTCTAAGCTTTCAAAAATCATATTTCAGTTTTTAGGAGGTTAGGAACTTAGAGACTTAGTTTTTCCTAATTTCCTTGATTCCCTCTATCGATCGATACCAATTTCGAGCAATTTCAGATTTTTCGATCTCTAAGTTTGATCGCCTCTAACTACGTTCCTAGTTGACCTACGGAGGTCAAACCTGGCCCCAGGTTATTTTTTCGTCGAGATCTATCGATTGGTATAGGTTTCGTCCGGATCGGCTTCCATGACCTCAGAAGCTCAAAAAAAACCTAAGGGGTTAGACTGCACTTTTTTCGATTTTCCCGAAATCCAAAGTTTCCGAGATTTTTACATCAATCGATAGGGAACGACGTCAGAAGCTTAAAAATCAAGGTCAAAAAGTTCTAAGACGGCTAGGAATAAAGTTATGATTTTTTTCTAAGCTTTCAAAAAATCATATTTCAGTTTTTTTAGGAGGTTAGGAACTTAGAGACTTAGTTTTTTTCCTAATTTCCTTGATTCCCTCTATTGATCGATACCAATTTCGAGCAATTTCAGATTTTTCGATCTCTAAGTTTGATCGCCTCTAACTACGTTCCTAGTTGACCTACGGAGGTCAAACCTGGCCCCCAGGTTATTTTTCGTCGAGATCTATCGATTGAGTATAGGTTTCGTCCGGATCGGCTTCCATGACCTGAGAAGCTCGAAAAAAACCTAAGGGGTTAGACTGCACTTTCGATTTTCCCGAAATCCAAAGTTTCCGAGATTTTTTACATCAATCGATAGGGAACGACGTCAGAAGCTTAAAAAAATTAAGGTCAAAAAAAGTTCTAAGACGGTTAGGAATAAAGTTATGATTTTTTTCTAAGCTTTCAAAAAAATCATATTTCAGTTTTTTTAGGAGGTTAGGAACTTAGAGACTTAGTTTTTTCCTAATTTCCTTGATTCCCTCTATCGATCGATACCAATTTTCGAGCAATTTCAGATTTTTTTCGATCTCTAAGTTTGATCGCCTCTAACTACGTTCCTAGTTGACCTACGGAGGTCAAACCTGGCCCCAGGTTATTATTTCGTCGAGATCTATCGATTGATATAGGTTTCGTCCGGATCGGCTTCCATGACCTGAGAAGCTCGAAAAAAACCTAAGGGGTTAGACTGCACTTTTTTCGATTTTCCCGAAATCCAAAGTTTCCGAGATTTTTACATCAATCGATAGGGAACGACGTCAGAAGCTTGAAAAACGAGGTCAAAAAGATAACTGCACTCCTGGTGCAGCTCTCATATATCTGTACCTGTGGTGCAGCTGACTGCACTCCTGGTGCAGCTATCATATATCTGCACTTGTGGTGCAGCTGACTGCACTCCTGGTGCAGCTCTCATATACCTGCACCTGTGGTGCAGCTAACTGCACTTGTGGTGCAGCTGACAGCACTCCTGGTGCAGCTATCATATATGTACACCTGTGGTGCAGCTATCTGCAAATACTAGAAGAATTGAACAGAAAATGAAGGCAACCTTCGGTTGCCAACAAAAGCCGGAAAACCCCTGACACCGCTGGGCCGTGGGCCGGCCACAAAAGAAACGTATTTAGTGTTAGGCGTTTGTACTAAGCCTAGGCTCTAAGACAAGCCTAAAAACTTCACCTAGCCTCAACAAAAGTAAGAAAATCAAACCAACAGTTAAAGCCTAAGAAGTCAACAAGCCTAAGAACTTTACCACCTAGCCTCAACAAAAGTTAGGAAATTCAACCAGCAGTTCAAACCTGAAAGCTCAACAAGCCTAAGAACTTTGAAAAATGATACCGCCTAGCCCCAACAAAAGTTAGGAAATCCAACCAGCAGTTCAAACCTGAAAGCTCAACAAGCCTAAGAACTTTGAAAAGTGATACCGCCTAGCCCCAACAAAAGTTAGGAAATCAAGCCCCCTTGAAAATTAGGGCCGGTGCTAAACCTAACCCTAAATAGTGCGCCGAGAAAGGGGGAGTTATTGAAATGGCGTTCAGTTATGCTGTGTATTTTCCTCCAAGCGAAGAATTTTTTCGCTTAGTCTATTGTGAAACATAGGCTTAGAGAAGAAACAAAAGTGTAATCTCGCTACAGTAATCTCGTTACAGTAATCTCACTACAGTAATCTCGTTACAGTAATCTCACTACAGTAATCTCGTTACAGTAATCTCACTACAGTAATCTCACTACAGTAATCTCGTTACAGTAATCTCACTACAGTAATCTCACTACAGTAATCTCACTACAGTAATCTCGTTACAGTAATCTCACTACAGTAATCTCACTACAGTAATCTCGTTACAGTAATCTCACTACAGTAATCTCGTTACAGTAATCTCACTACAGTAATCTCGTTACAGTAATCTCACTACAGTAATCTCACTACAGTAATCTCGTTACAGTAATCTCACTACAGTAATCTCGCAACAGTAATCTCGCTACAGTAATTTATCTACAGTAACCCGTTACCGTAACCCAACTAAAATGAACCGCTACAGTAACCTGTTACCGTAGTCCGTCAACAGTAACTACTCTACAGTAACCTGCTACAGTAGTCCGTTACCGTACAACTACAGTAAACCGCTACTGTAGCAGAAAAAATGATAGTGAGAAATAAGAAACAAAAGGCGCACTATTTAGGGTTAGGTTTAGCACCGGCCCTAATTTTCAAGGGGGCTTGATTTCCTAACTTTTGTTGGGGCTAGGCGGTATCACTTTTCAAAGTTCTTAGGCTTGTTGAGCTTTCAGGTTTGAACTGCTGGTTGGATTTCCTAACTTTTGTTGGGGCTAGGCGGTATCATTTTTCAAAGTTCTTAGGCTTGTTGAGCTTTCAGGTTTGAACTGCTGGTTGGATTTCCTAACTTTTGTTGAGGCTAGGTGGTAAAGTTCTTAGGCTTGTTGACTTCTTAGGCTTTAACTGTTGGTTTGATTTTCTTACTTTTGTTGAGGCTAGGTGAAGTTTTTAGGCTTGTCTTAGAGCCTAGGCTTAGTACAAACGCCTAACACTGAATTCCTTTTTTTTGTGGCCGGCTCACGGCCCAGCGGTGTCAGGCTTAGGCGCAGGCTTGGCCTGCGCCCTATTTAGGAACAGGATCTCAGAAGTCGATGCGGACGCGCGTGTATAACTTTTTTTAGTTTTGACATATGTTGTAGAGAATTAAATTCTGATTAATTTAAAGGTGGTAAAATAGTGTGACACCGTCCATCCTAGAGAGTTATGAGCCGCCAAAGGTACGAAAATGGGTTTTTTGAAAAATTCATTTCTAAATGAGTTTTAAAGGTAGAGTGATGAAATTTTTAGACGTATTGTGTAAAGACTTGGTGTTTTATTTAAAAAAATAAAACCGTTTTGAAAAAAACATGATTTTTTTGACTAATTTTTGCATTTTGAAAATTTTCACGATTTTCGAACTGCCGAAAACCCACAAAAAAACCTGTCAGATTTTCTTGTTCAACCTATGGAGGCGGTAGTCCTCATTTGATTTGAGCTATTTAAAAAAAAGTTTATCGAAAAAAATGTTCATTTACAAAATTATTAAAATTCGAAAAACCCAAAATGGCGATTTTGGCCATCTTTTGACCAAACCGGCTAAAAGTTATATCAAACGACTCAAAATTCAATTGTGAGTTCAATGAAATAAAGTTTATCTCAAAAAAAGCAAAAAGAAAAAAATTTTTTTCAAGCCAAAAATTTTGATTTTCGAGTGGACGAGTTGGGCATGTTAGAGTGAAAAATTCATTTTTTCAGTTTTCACATATGTTGTAGAGAATTTTACGCTGATCATTTTAGTTGTAACAAAACCATGTGTAACTTCACTCTCAACAAAGTTATGAGCCACCAAATGTCGAAAAATGGGCTTTTTTCAAATTTCATGACTCATTTTAAAACCCCTTAAAAGCTTGTCAGGGGGCCTTGGCGGGGGTGTGGGGGCAGCCACCCCCACAATATGCAACGTATCAAACGAAAATTAATGGTAAATTTTCATTTACAAAGTAATTGAAAATCAAAAACTCCCGAAAAAACTTGAGAACTCCGAAAACTCCGAAAAAACTTGAGAAAAAAACCTTGAAAAAAACTTTTGTTGAGAGTTTTGTTGAAAGAAAAACTTTTGTTGAGAGTTTTTGTTGAAAGAAAAACTTTTGTTGAAAGAAAAACTTTTGTTGGGAAAAATTGAATTTGGTTGGAAAATGAATAAAAAACCAATTGAGGCCCATGTTGACCACGCCAAAGTTGTGCTTCATAATAGGCAACCTTCGGTTGTCAACAAAACTCGGAAAACCCTCGAAAAGCCTGGGTCGAAAGACGACCACAAAAAGGGGGGGCTATTTAGGAATCCTTGGATCAAATTGAACAAAACTGGGAAAATCAAAAAAGCCTGAAAACTTAAAAAGACGAGATCCAACAAAACTAGGAAAATCAAAAAAGCCTGTAAACCGAAAAAGCTCGAATCCAACAAAACTAGGAAAATCAAAAAAGCCTGAAAACTGAAAAAGACGAAATCCAACAAAACTGGGAAAATCAAAAAAGCCTGAAAACTGAAAAAGACGAAATCCAACAAAACTAGGAAAATCAAAACCCCGCAAAAATAGCGTAAAACGCTATTTGACCCTAAATAGCGCGCCGTCGGAAGGGGAAACAGAATGAGATTCCGGTTTTTTCATTTCGAAACATTTCGAGCAATTTCGAAACTTTTCAAGTAATCTGGAGCAATTTCGACCATATCGGATCATTTCAAAACATTTC